ACACACCAGATTCCAGCACTACTACTTCGCAGTGCTGACGGCCACTGAAAAGCTGTCGACATGACCGGCAGAGGCAAGGGCGGCAAGGGACTCGGAAAGGGTGGCGCCAGGCGTCATCGCAAGGTATTGCGCGACAACATCCAGGGCATCACCAAGCCGGCCATCCGTCGTCTGGCTCGTCGCTTGCCGGGGCGTCAAGAAGCGTTACCGGTACCGTCCGGGCACGGTGGCTCTTCGCGAGATCCGTCGCTATCAGAAGAGCACGGAGCTGCTCATTCACAAGCTGCCGTTCCAGCAGCTGGTGCGCGAGATTGCGCAGGACCTCAAGACGGACCTGCGCTTCCAGAGCAGCGCTGTCATGGCTCTGCACGAGGCCAGCGAGGCGTACCTGGTCGGTCTGTTCGAGGACACGAACCTGTGCGCCATCCACGCCAAGTGGGTGACCATCATGCCCAAGGACATCCAGCTGGCGCGTCGCATCCGTGGCGAGCGTGTTTAAAAGCGCTGAGAGCGAAATCATCAACTCCAGAGGTAACTTAAAACTTCATGAGAGGGGAACCGAGTGATAATTTAGATCACCCCCCCCCCCCCCCCTGTCGCCATACAGAAACGACATTCCCTGGCTGAACAACAAACGTCGTCTTCTAAGTGAGGACCTGACGGAGGACGTCTCGCACCGTCGAGCAGGTAATCTGGCCAGTTTTGAGGTCCACAGTGCGCACGCACGTGTCCTTGCTGAGTAACAGCTTTGGGTGCTTGCCGCCTATACCACCGCCTGCTTCAAGTCCAGAACGGCCCCGTGGTAAAAAGGCTAATGATTTACTGAATACAATCGGTGACAAAAAACGGACACTTATGTGCGTCAACTGGGTGCAAAATAGCGAAGGCCAGTTAACCGAACACAAAACTTTTGCATTGGTCTCATTCGATAGCGCTTGCAGCATGAACTTGTGTAGAACACATGTCGAACGTTGACGTTTCGTGGTATAAGCAAGTTGAGCTACAAGATGTTGCCAAGCATGGAAGCCTTAATGGTGATAGTTTTTTGGCAGGTGACAGAAATATACCACAGACTAGACTGTATTAGTGCAGACGTCACGGGCCAGCGGCGACACAACGCTTTTCCCATGCACCTCAGATCAATGTTTTTCACAGATGTTCCGCCATTATCCATTTCACCTACTAAACAGTATAAGATACCGAATTATTAGGCGTATAACTAATCGTAAGAATGGTGGATGGCTACAGCATCTTGTGGCGAACGTGATCAGTTTGCTACACGGAGTTTGAAAGCGTTGTGTGATTTGAGACAGATATGCTCGAATGCTCGGCACAGGGTAATGAACCGGATTCAGTGCTTATTCAGTGCAAGGCTATTGGGTGTCTTTGGTTGTATTCATGTCGTGAGAAGCTGACTGGCGTGAAGAATGCACCCAATCGTCGCTTTTTAAGGCGCTGTGCGGCTTTTCTAAGGATCTACCATGGAGGGCGTCCCTGATACTACCATTAAAAAGCCCTGCCGGTCTAAAAGGCTTGTTGTTTTTGGATACCCGAACTGCAGCTTTAGTGGTTCACGGAGGACATTGGAGCGAAATATGTAAAGGATTCGTCTGAAGCTTGCTGCCGCTGAGAGGAACAGCGGCTTTGAGGTAAGATGACGATTACAGAGCATCAGTGGTGTGGGCCTCTCACAATGCCGGTAGGACCGCATGCCTAACGTTCTGACCGGCGGACAGGTGTGAGATAAAACGCTTTTAATTGTGATTTTTTTTTGCATATGGTGCTAAATGAAGGTAAAGGAGGCGTTGACACAAATCTCTTGTGCATCTGCTCATACCAATATTACATGGTATCCGTACTGAATTCCGTTGACTGAGATTGTGTTCGCAAATGTGAGCTTTGCGTCGGTAGTGATTTGGCAAAGATAGTGAAGGTCGCCTGGTCCAGAAGGTCGAAAGGTCCAGATGAAGGTCCCACTGATTGTATAGCGGCTTCACGATACTGTTTACGATACGTACAATATTGTTTTCAGGTGTTTGTAGGCCCATGTTATCGGTAAATGTAGGGCTACAGGGATGCAGTTCTGCAAAATGGGTTGGGCTGAGGGGGGGGGGGACGTAGAAAGAAAACACGACTCAGCCTGCCTCCAAAATGCACTTCAGGCAGTTTCGTCCCCAGATCGACGCATTTTCTGTTTAGAATTGAGAGCAGGGGTGTTGTTTCCCAAATTGAATTGGGGATGGGGACTTAATTCTAAAAATATGATTATTAAAGAATAGCGAATACAGATAATCATCACAACAAGGAATCTACATCCCTGATTGGGAAGCAAATCCCCCATCACGCCCAACTGAATAGGAAACAACGCGTCTCTAGGGTGGTTATATTTAGCATGCCTGTGTGCAATAATTTTATTAGTTTAGTCTCAACCATCATTCAGTGTTTGATGGCGGCAAATGATACTTAGGTGCACATGAATTCCTGAAACGAAAATGTCTGACGTTCATGCCGCGTTGCATTTCGCTTGTCTTTGTTTTTGTGGTTTATTGCAGATTTATATCGCAAAAGTTTGGGATAGATTTAGGTCCAAGTGGTAGTTAAGACGGTTCCAAATTTCGTCGGTGACAGAAAAGGCACTTTTCGCCCCTGAATAGACATACCAGCATTATAATTCATTCGGAGCATGACAATATTATAGTCACAATCCTAGACAAGCATCAGGGGTTTAATTCGCACCAACCACCCAGCCATAAATAATTCCCAACAGACATTTCATAACCGTCATTCTCAAAGGCTATCAACCTGCACTATGTTACTGAAGTACACAGCTCTGCAATTTATTGTCTTACAATCTCATTCCTACCAGCCGCCAAAAGTATGCTTTTTTATTGCGGACATAACTTGTCGCTGTAAACGATGCATTCCATTAGCAGATATATGATATGCACAGAATCACGATGAAAAGCTAGTCACCTTAGGTTTATGCATACAACAGACATGGGTCCCTAGAAAACGCATCACTCAATAGTTATTCATTGTCACCATAACGTGATGAGACACAACTTCACTGTAGCTCGCAAATTTCATGCACACAATAATTTGGTCAAAAACATCACAGTCGAGAAGTATGCAATAAACCGAATTATTGGATGAATTGTGTAATATTTTTGATTATGAGACAAATGCAAGACACCATGCTACATAACCCGTATTTGAAATGACAGGGGCAAAAAGCGGTAGAGCAAACCAAGAATATTTCAACTAAACCCTGTTTTCTAGTTGTCTACAATAATACGATCTCCACATAAACTGCAAGCGCGCGTGAAATTGCAAGCGCACGCAAGTGTACTTGGGTTTCAGTTACCCCAGCGTGGGGAAAAACCTCACCAGCAAACCTCAGCGTGGGAGAAAACCTCACCAGCAAAACAAAATTGTTTTCGTTGGCTCTCGAGATTTAACCATTGTTAGCCTATGTAGCATCGGGTACCCAAGCAGATCGCATTTATCATTGATAATTTTGCGCATTACATGTCACAAATTGGTCAGTATTGGATCAGAAGTCATCTGCCATATTTCGTTTCCAAATCTCACGTCATGTACAGTGAAATTTTGCTTGTCCCGGAAGCGTAATTTTGAGCTGATTTTAAGGTGCTCATTTATCCCAAAATGCCCGTTTTTTTGTCCAAAACACTGTGATTTTTCACATTTTCAGCTCAAAATACGTACTTTTGCATTAATTCAGAAGAATTGCGAAGGCAACCAATTCCCTCTAAACGAAACATGCACACATATACGTCTTTAATGTCGACAGCCTGCAGAAGCAGCAAGCCAGACTCAGCCCGTCCGCAGTAAAGCAGACTCAGCAAAACAAAAAGCTTGCGGGTTAATGCTGGATCAGGCACAACGGGTCCACGGAACCGGTTCGCAGTGGAATTCCTACTGACCTGCTCGTTTACACATTTCCTCCGCAGTTCCGTACGCCACCGACACGTCATTGCGTCACAAACAACATTCGTGCCCTCTATCCTCGGACTGTTCTTTATTCAGGGTAAAGTTGTGCATAAGGGGGCGTGCACGGTACTCACGTTTCATACAACTTGCCAACGCCCCAGCCTCCCACTCCCCAACTCTGGCCAGGTTGACAACCCCGGCTGATGGCGTCCGAAGTCCTGTGAATGGCTGCCGCCCCCCGGCACTCAAACAACACCAGGCATATCCATTCAATGGGGTACATTGCGATGCAGTGGGCAACAGCGCTCCTAATTAACTCCTAACTAGAACCAAGTCCAGTAGGTGCTGAAGCTCCATCGATGTGCAGGCAAAATTTGTCTGTTCGACGTGGCTGAAAAAGCGCCGATTTCGTCTGCACTTTGTACAGCCGTTGACGAGTAGTCCGCGTGCCGTTGGACAAAAAAACATTAAAGCATACATACAAACAAACTATTCTCTGTGAAGTGACCGGGACGCATGGGCCGTTAAAAATGTGTGATAAGAATGATGCGCACAATTATTCCATCCATAGCACGTCGTATCAATCATTCCTTAAAACTAACCGAGCAGCCTGGTCTCGAAACGGTATCGAACAACCAAAAGGAGGAAAACCTCAACATGAGCAATCATTGCAATCATCTGGCGCAGTGACAAGAGATCCCAGGAGGACTGAAAACAGATTGTGTGTCCTCGTCAAGATTGTGTGTCTTCTAACGTACAAGGCGCGGACAGTAGTTAACGCAGTTATTTGAAGACTGCAACCAAATGCATTTGTCAAAAGATGACGGCACATGTCAAGCGGCCTAGGCTGGGCTTAAAGCAGCTGGCAACGGCAATGTTTGCCGCCATGAAGACAACTATGAAGACACTGAGTGGAAAGTTCTCTTAACAAGACTTGAACAGTTTGGACGATCGATCACACACAGGATTTTTCGCCGAAGCCGAAAGATCGGTCTGCAATGTATGCGACCGATAAATCTAATGCCAAAATTAGATCCAATGAAGTAGAACCAAAGCATTAGAGTTGGCTGGTGCAGATTCGCGAACGACTTTTCATCCATCGAGCCCACTTTTCGGCAGAAAAGAGAAGACCGATAACAGTTTGATGTAACTGACTTAACGAGCATACTTGCAGACGTATGGAAAGCGGTACCTGGTCGCAGCATCCGTCCATTTGCCGTCAGGTGTCACGTAAGTAATTAAAGGCTGTTCCACGGGGTCATATGGCTGTCCGGGATACCAGTTGGTGTAGCCGACCGGACTGCCGTCCAGCCAGCGGAACTCGTTGCTGGCATAGCTCGTCTGATGCCAGAAACCGATCTGGAACTCAGTGACAATGCCGGTGGTCAGAAGTCGAAGAAAGTCGTCCTCTTCCTCGGACAGCACTGACGTTAGCTCCGCCCCCACCCGGAGGTAGCGACAGCTGTCCGAGGCAGCTGCTCCGGTGACTTCGTCCGGCACCAGCCTGTAGCAATTACCATGGTTATGAACCCATTCCTCATCGCAGGGCATAAACAGTTTGCAAATGCCTGGAGATACCGACACGTCGTAGGCTACGGTAGTACACCCGAGCTGACGTGCGCACAGACATCCGCACTGTATAGCGCTGCCAGCTGCAGTGATGTTGAGAAGATTCCAATTGTGCTCCATTGAATGCAGCACTCTCATCACTAGATTTTCGGCGGTCACCAACAGACTGCCAAGCCACAGGACCTTCGTCGCGAGAGACATCATTTCGGCTCACTGCTGAGGTGAGCAGAGCGACTCTGAGCAGGCCAGCTGCTGGCAACACACTGGGGCTACTGGTTGTGTGCTTGTGTGTTTTTGTGATGGTAGGTCTTTGTATGCTGTGTTATGCCAGCCTGCCATGGTCACCGCCCCGCTATTGGTGGATTCTGGCCACTGCACACCGCGAGTGTGTCCGCCACCGTCAATAATCCGGTGCACCGGCCAAACGGGAGCAAGTTTTGTGCGCCAAATTTACACGCCATCTAAGTCCGCGGCCGAAATTTGCAGTGGCACGCGACAGCTGGGTACAGTGCACCGTCGACGCCTGGCAATCGAAATGCTTTCACAAACTTCACATGGGCTAACATTAGCAACGCCAATTTCCCATTGATCTGCAGACGGCCAGCAAGGCGTGCATTTCCGAACCCATATTCCGACAATGACGGATCGGAGGGACATTTTACGCGTGAATAAGGAATAGAATGAGGAATTGCCTGGTACAAAGTGTGCGGTTTCACATGCCACGAGACCAGGATTTTGAGATGGATTTGACCGATTTCGACCATTTTCACGTTCTGAATCACATCTTGGCACCCGGTGCAGATAGGGGTGTAAATCCAACTTCAATGCTACCGCCAATATAGCGACAATCTTAAATTGTATGTAGGTAAATTTGCTTATGCAAATTTTGTTCGTTTGTCAGAAATACGTACGCAAAAGTTCGTGAACAGATCATTGTACATTACCAAGTACGCTGGGAAAATATTCGTAAAAACAAAAGTTGGGCAGGATAAACGTTCGTATTGGAAAGCCCTTATGCATGAAGTACGTTCGCCACTGCTTGTCAATGTGTGTGTGTGTGGGGGGGGGGGGGGGGGGGGGGGGTTCCTGCGGTGGGCGTCTTGCGTGGCTGCCTGGCCGCCGCTGGATGTTGTGCGCCGCCGGCTGCCGCTGTCACACCTTCCCATAAGAGCGAATTAATAATAAGGAGCCCATTGGTCAGCATACGAGCCCGGTGATATTAGCGCACGGCTGGCACGTTGTGGCTCCGGTACACCCGACACCAACACACACTCATGTGAGCGACAGAGCTAGGATGAAGCGGGTGGCCGGGGCGTTGGCGGGATGGTGGATCCGGTCAGGCACCATGAACGGCTGTCTTCCTGCCTATGGCTGTGCGCCCTTAACCACGTTATCCCACCTCCACCCTTTAGCTTGCGATAACATTTAAATGGGGCAAAAAACGGGATCGCGTGCATACTAATACGCCGAACTAGCAAGGGTCCCACACACTGGCGAATTATATTGACAAGAGCCCACTGGGCAATGGCCCTGGGAACCCCCGGCCTTAACTAACCCACGCAGACTCCATGCACTCGGCGCCCCATCACACTCATTCCAAGCATTCGCATACTCTGGCGCCCCCATCATCCCATTCATCCTTGGCACGCACACGGGTGGGACCCCCTCCTTATTTCCCGCTGTAACGCTTCGTTCTAACCGCGTTACACCGCGCCTTGGCAATATAATTGGCTCGTCCGCGTGGGTCATCGTTAAGTTAAGTTTAATTCATTTTTCACATTTCGATCTTGCCATAAAGATACATTTAAGCCCCGTTCAAAGTGTATCACGTTTATTTGCCAGCTTGGCACCGACACAGCTGCTGGGTCGACACCGGATGTCCGAAGCTGAACGGCGACTCGTTCCCTCGCCTGACCTCCACGGTGACGGCTCCCTATTTGGACGACGCTCCCCACGTTCCGTCCACGATGGGTGGCCCACCATTCGCACTGCCACACCCACCACTCGCATCTTCCCGCTGCCGCGCATGCGCCTTAGGCAGCGCCTCGTCCAGCACGGAGGCGTCGCTTCCGGCACTTCTGCGCCCTCGCCTCCCGCCCGCCGGAGCAGGCTTTGCAATGCACCGCCCCACGGCGCGCCCCTCAGAGGCCTGGGGGTAGACAGCACGCTCACGGGACGGTGGAGCCCCTCGGCAGACGACGAACGCCCGGCGCGACCTGCGTCCACGCCTTACGGTCTCCTCGGCCGGCGCGCTCTGGAGACTCGGCCTGACCGGCCTGTCTGGCAACCTGATTCCTCGTCGCCTTTCCTATGAGCGTCGATGGCGGGATCCCTATCCGTCCCGAACATCCCGTCACCAATCGCCCATAAGGCCCGGCTTACGCCACGTCGGAAGAGAGCACACTGACTTCTGCCCTCTCCTAAGGCGGAGACACCACAGATAGACTCCGCTAACCGCCATGCGCAATCAAGCATCCCGGGCGATCCCCACGGGTCCTGGGTCACATCATGACCAATGCCTCTTCAGGCCGTCACGCCTGAAGTCAAGTGGAAAACAGTAAAACGAGTCAGCCGTCTCCGAGAAAAAAGGAGCGAAACTGTGTCTTTAGCCGCGCCACCCACAAACGTCTACCTGCGTAAAAGCAGGACTGCGGTCGTCTGCCTCCTCGTCCTCGTCGTAGCCACGCCGGGCTGCTCGCTTGCCGGCGGGCCGCGAGCAGTGGACCGCTCCGTCCATCCACACCGCAAGAGACTGTCATCTGCCGGCGGGTCGCGGGTGCCCGCGCCGTCATCGCGCACCGCCGGGTGTCGCCCACTACCGCGATTGTCCATGTCGGCTGATAGATACATCCCGGGATCATGTTCGGTTCGGAACATTCGACGCCGTCCTTCCCTACATCGAAACTCCTACGTCCGTATCGGATCCCTCCCGGACGAGATGGGCCTTCGCTAACCAAACATGAACCCCGTGCATCCTTTGGGCAGAGCGCCCCAGACCTAGCGAAATGGAGAGGAAGGTAAAAGGCGGGCAATATACGCGCTCGCTGAGGGAGTCCGTGTAACGCATGCGCTGAGCGGAGCTAGACCGCGCTAACCTATTAAATAGCGAGGTGAGCGGAAAAAGAAAACATGAATAAAAAGAAGGACAACGAAAGAAAAATAAAGCAGAACGCACTAAAAAAAAAAACAGCAATCGACCTCACCCACGCGCGGATACCTCACTGGCCCAGTTGACCTATCGGGCGGACGAGTGATCAAGCGAAGGGGGTGGAGTAGCATGCACATAACGAAGTGTGAGCAGGCGCACCGGACGGAGCTTGGTAAGAGCTCGGTGTCCCACGACGGATCAAAGGGAGGGATTGAATGCAAGCGACCAACTGAAGGGGAAACGAGCCTAAGCATAGGCGGGCATCCGGCAAAACCATTCCGTCCGTCGACGCGGCAAGGCGATCAAATGGATGACAAAAGGGCAGCGCGATTGTGAGCGGATCGCGCATGCACGCTGGTCGTGCTCCGGCGGGAATTCGGCGTCTCAAAAAGACAAGACATCCATAAAAGGACGCGCCCACACCAGCGACGCCGGGAGCGGAGGGCCAAACGCCCCGTTGGCCGGGAAAACGAACCTTGGTCTGTGCGGAAATCCTACGAGACTATGCAGTCCATCGGTATAGGCCAAGCGATCAACTACGAATGGTGAGAAGGCGGCGTGGTCGTGAGAGAAGCCGAGCACGCGCGCTGGATTGAACCCATGAGAGTCCGGCCACCTCGAACTATTGACAAAAAAAAAACAGCGAAGCGAACGATACAAGGCGAGCCGTCCACCTAACCCACATTCTACCACCACTGTCGCCGAAGACCTCCGGAGACATGTCGACTCGGCCCGTACGCCGCGCCTGACCGCGACGACGGCCAGGCGAGGGCCCGGACAAGCCGCAGCACCTCTACATGGCCTCCTCCACCGGCAAACTCTGGACAGCTACGGGACGTGTCAAAGAGCGGGCCGCTGCGCCCAAGCATGCATCCAGGGCTCCGGACACAGCACCGCCCAACGCCGGGCCGAGTGTCCTCGCGCCGCCCGAGCCAACCTCATCCGGCCTCGCTCCCTCACTAACCCATCGCAATGCAAACCGTCATCTGTATTCACACACAAAGACAACGATGCAAAAACATCACTCACACACTGCGACACACCAGTCCATCGTTCAGGCGGGCTCAGCGTCGAGCTGCGTGGCACCTTGCACACTCACGCACCCGAGCCCCTCCCCTTTTCCCCGGCTCCGCGGTAGGGATCCGGTGACCGCGGCTTGCGCCACCCGCTGGGGAGCGGGGTGAAAGGGCACGCTCGGAGCGCCAGCCGCCCATGGCCCGGTGAGATGGGAGGGGGGGGGGGGGGTCAATAGCCTAGACACTCACATCGTGCGCGCTGTCGTCGGCGACCGCCGAACGCCGTGTCGAATGTCACAGCCGGGTGCTGTGAGCTGGGGCCTCGGAGGGTCGACCTCAAGATGCCGCTGTGGGCGTCGGGCGCACTCACTGGCACTGTACTGTGTTGTCCTCCTTCCTGTCTGTCCGGAGACCCCTGCATGATGTTTTACCGACTTTCGACACCTCTTAGCTCTGTCGGCCCGCCTTCTCTTCTCGCGTGATCTAATGGGTTTGCCGCCTCGCCCCTCCGTCCAATGCGTCGCCGGGCCGGCATGCAACGCTCCTAGAGTCCAGCCCTCAACGTGCCCCTGGGCCAGATCTCGGGCGTGGCGTTGCTGGCGACGACGCGAGGCCCGCCCGCTCTCGCCTCGGGCGGGCCCTGCGCGTCCCCCTCTGGCCCAGTTCCCACGTGGCGTGGCTCTTCTGACGGCAGCTGAGGCGACGGCGGCGCCGGCACGGCGGATTTGACGGGGCGGAACAGCAAATATCCTCATAACATGTTGTTTGCGCGTCCCTGTGCGCATGTTGTTTCGCCGATCGCCCGCTCTCGCCTCCATTTCTCTTGGCGCGATGGATGATTTTGGCAGGTGGGCCGCCGTCATGGCTGTTCTGGGGGAAGCACCTGACGTTGTTTTGACGACGTGAGTTGATCGGTCGGATCGTCGAGCCGAGCTGCATTCGCCCCTCGGCCTGATGGACCTGTTTTGACCACGGCCGGCTGGTTCGCTTTCCCACGCTCTGCGCGGCAAGTCCCTCCTGTCCCGGACGGGTGGCGCGCAAAACGACGAGGCATGAAAATGCACGCCTACATAAACAACTGAAAGTAAGAAAATGTTCAAAGCGAAGAAAGCTGATCTAACACCTGGTCCTGCTCCCACAATCTTTGTGTCTGTTTTGTAGGGTGCTTTCGTATGGTGTACCGTGTAGCTCCCCTTGTGCACGGTATGAAATATCAACACACGCTTCTGGTTTCCATTCTTGGTTTCTGGTTCCCGTTGCTCCCTTCGACGAAACAAAGCCGCAGATCCTGGCTCCCAATGGTTCTCTTGACAAAGGATCCTGGCTCCTGCTGGCTCTTTCGACAAACGAAGATCCCGGATCTTGGCTGTTTTTTTCGACAAAAAAAACCGAGTCCCGGTTCCAACTGGATGCTTCGACGGAACCAAACCACTGGATCCTGGCTCCTGCTGGTTCGTTCCACATACCAAGATTCTGGGTGCTTATGGGCTGGAGATGAGCCTCTATAACAATCACCGGTAAGAAAGGACTAGTTGGCACACACAACGTGAAGAAAAGAGAAGTGGTTCCAGTTAAGCTAGACTGGATCTTGGTTCTGCTGGATCTTTCGGCTTATCGTCCGGCTGGGTTCTGGTTCTTGCTGTATCTGACAACTTAATATTAGGCTGAATCCTGGTCCCTGCTGGTTCCTTCAGCATCATGAGGCCTGATCCTGGTTACTGTTGGGTACCTGGACCTAATGCAAGAGTGGTTCCAGGGAACTTCCTGGTTTTGGAATCAGGAACTGGCCCCCCGGGAAAGAAATATTTGCAACCAAGCCATGTCTGATTATATCATTCACTTGGAACCTTGTGATTTAATCATATGTTATCCTGTTACCCACTCCATGTCCGAAAAAATGGTTGTTTGATTAACGAATGCAGGTAAAAAGTGTCATTTGTATGCTTTTCTTGGTAAGTTCCAGAGCAATCTTTGGAGCATCTCTTCCATGAGTTCCGATAACTCCAGCGGTGCTTAGGTCTTCTCCAACCAGGAAGCCGACGAGTCTAACGGACATCATTGTAGGGACAAGGTCAAGGACAAGGCCATCATTATAGGGACAAAACCTGCATGATCGTCAAGCTAATCAAAATGTGCGACTGGGTCCGCTCGTGGAAAACATTGCATACGGTGTTCGCGGAGAGTCATGGGAAGTGCGTCAACGCTGCCTGTCGAATCAAAATAGTCGCTTTCAAAGCTGAGCACAGTGTTGCAATCCACCACAGTTTCCCGGAGTGCCTCAGTGGTGAAAGAAAACTGACATGACCGGAAACTTTGGTATGAGGTTGTTATTGATTAGGACATGCCGATATCATAATCGATAACCTCTTTTCTCATGATAATATAATGCTACGCCATACACATGTGGCGCTTTATATTATGAGGTTGCGATCGGGAACTTGGTGGTAGGTATGGCACTACTCGCTGGCGAGGGTTGGTTATATGCTCGCTTAGTCTGGGACACATGAACTCGCAGCGGCGAATCTGCGGTGCGTTTAGTTATGAAAACAAATTCTAGACGCCAGCCAGTTTCGAAGCAAATCCAGCAGCAAAATTTGGGCACCGTCGTCACAGCCTTGTGCTTCTTACGGAATTTTTAGATGCTTAAGCAGTTGTCATTTGTGTTGAAAACCGGTAAAGAATTCTGTCCAATTGATAATGACAATATCCACACTAACGTTACTGTCCTCATGACATGCCAAATGTGATGTGTGTGTGTGTGCCATGTCCTGCCAAAGACATGCTCAATGGGTGGTCCACGGGTGATCGACGAATCAAAGTAGTCATAGTTGTGCCATAAAATTGAAGGATGACATGCGCTAGCAATCTTCCTTTAAATAGTTGCATGTTGAGTCCCATCGCAGACGTACAAATCACACACCTGAGTTCAGCCGGTCATTTGTCATAAAGTCGAGCGCACAAACGTGACAGCTTTTAAACTGCTATGTCGACATCCGCACCTGCCAATTTATGTGCCAAAGTTTTCGCGGCGTGATGTTTATCACTGCAGCTTCTGTTTACTGCCTCCTGCAGCAGCGTTCCTCGGATAGCCAGTCCGGCCAAACGGCGTTCACTTGGCGCGGGCTGGGCAAATGTACTCGGCAGCTGTATCTGGAAAATCAGGCGACATGAACACAGGCGCGACCCGAGTGCTCGAACGGGGGGGGGGGGGGGGGGGGGTACCGAGGTAGCGAAGGCCCTTGCTGGTGAAAAGCCCCTAAATTAGTCGCTAGATTGGGTGCACTTTATTTTAAGGACATCGAATTTTATTCGTTGCTATGTATGTTTCGTCTTTTTACACTGAAACGAACGACAGAGGCCTGCAGATGTCGCAATTCTGATCGCATTTTAGGTGCTATTTAAACGGAGGAAAAGTATTAACACGCGCTCGGGTGGGGTGGTTAAATTGTCCCCCACTCCAAATTTTTTTCCAAAGTGGTCTCCGAACGGTGCGGCGTATCCGCACTAACTTACTATCCGCGCCGGGCGCTCGTCGTCTGCCGAGGGGCTCCACCGTCCCGTGAGCGCGCTGTCTACCTCCAGGCCTCTGAGGGGCGCGCCGTGGGGCGGTGCCTGGCAAAGCCTTCTCCGGCGGGCGGGAGGCGAGGGCGCAGTGGTGCCGGAAGCGACGCCCCCGTGCTGGACGAGGCGCTGCCTGAGGCGCATGCGCGGCGGCGGGAAGCTGCGAGCGGTGGGTGTGGCCGTGCGAATGGTGGGCCGCCCATCGTGGACGGAACGCGGGGAGCGTCTTCCAAACAGGGAGCCGTCACCGTGGAGGTCAAGCGAGGGAACGAGTCGCCGTTCGGCTTTGGACATCCGGTGTCGGCCCGGCAGCTGTGTCGGTGCCAAGCTGGCAAATAAACATGATACACTTTGAACGGGGCTTAAATGTATCTTTATGGCAAGATCGAAATGTGATAAATGGATTAAACTTAACTTAACGAGGACCCACGCGGACGAGCCAATTATAATGCCAAAGCGCAGGAAATAGAGAGAGGGGGGGGGGGGCGGGGGTCCCACTCGTGTGCGCGCTAAGGATGAATGGGATGATGTCGGCGCCAGTGTATGCGAATTCTTGGAATGAGTATGACGGGGCGCCGAGTGCATGGAGTCTGCGTGGGTTAGTTAAGGCCGGGGGTTCCCAGGGCCGTTACCCAGTGGGCTCTGTCAATATAAATCGCCAGTGAGTGGGACCCTTGCCAGTTGGGCATATTAGCATGCATGCGATCCCGTTTTTGCCCCATTTAAATATTTTCGCAACCTGAAGGGTTGAAGTGGGATACCGTGGGTAAGGGCGCACAGCCATGGGCGGGGAGACAGCCGTTCATGGTGCCTGACCGGATCCACCATCCCGCCAACGCCCCGGCCACCCGCTTCATCCTAGCTCTGTCGCTCACATGAGTGTGTGTTGGTGTCGGGCGTACCGGAGCCACAACGTGCCAAGCCGTGCGCTAATATTACCGGGCTCGTATGCTGACCAATGGGCTCCTCATTATAAATTCGCTCTCGTGGGAAGGTGTGACAGCGGCAGCCGGAGGCGTACAACATCCAGCGGCGGCCAGGCAGTCGCCCACGACGCCCACAGCAGAAACTCCCCATCCCTCCCCCATATTGTCAACATGCAAGTGAACACAAATCTCGCCGCGGCCACTTTGTTGAAAAAAGT